ATTCATTTATACCAAAATTTTACGTATTTTTAGATCTCTTTCCTTTTTTTAAAAAAAAAATGAAATTACTAATCGATTTCATGAATTTTTTAAAACTTTATTAGAAAATATTTTAAATATTAAACTTAAAGATTTTAAATGGGTTTTTTTTAAACAATTATATTCGAAAAATGGGAAGTTTCGATTTAAATCCATTAAAATTTGATATCTATTTCATCATTTTTTGTTGATAACAAAGGCCATGATATCTTATTTTATCACTCCTAAAAATAAACTTTTAAATTCGACCATGACTGCTTGTATAAAACCTCTCCCTGAAGCTGTTTTACCGATAGTTTTAACACCTTAATCAATTTTTAATTTTTATTAATTTCACTCATCAAACCTCCTTTTGGAATATGGAATATATTCAACTATTACTGTACTAGTGGTTATAAATGGTTGGAGCAATACCAAGCCATAACCTCTTATCCAGATGAATAATGTTGTTAAACGGCTCGTTTTGAGCCGATTTTCGAAAACGGCTAATTCAATGTTTTCGCCAGAAAAATATTGACTAAGCCTGGAAATTTCGATACTATATGTCTAGACCATTGCTCCTTCTATGAACAAAATTTTTAGGCCTGCGTATTATTTTTCAGGATAAAAAATGGAGTTAGCCGTTTTGTAAAAAATCGGCTCAAAACGAGCCTTTTAACAACACTACAGATGAACAATTAAGTTTTGCCATAGGCCAGAATCTACATATATGCATAAAATGTAAAACAGTTGTTTCCAAAGGGAGACCATTGTTTTAATTGTATATATATATATATATTTTAAGGAAGACATGCAAGGCATTCAGCCCGTAATTCCGTTATTAACCGCTCTCTTACGAGTCTTGAATATCAAACATCCCAGAGCCTGTCAGATGAGTTAATTCAACTTCTGTACCTTGGTCTTTAGGTGAATCCTAGATTTTAAACTTCAAGCGCTTCTCTTCATTTCTAATAAATGCAATTGAATCAGCCGAGAAAAATAATAATTAAATGATGTTTTTTTTACCAATAGTTTTCTCTTCCCCCCCCCCTACTTATGTCAAGCGGAAAATGTAGGCGAGAAAATGAGAACCTTACATTGGAACCCACGGAATTTCATTTTTTTTTAAACAAAATATTCAAATTATCTTTATATATAATTATTCGTGTTTTTTGGGGAGTAACTTATAGTCACAATTCCCTGTTAATCAATGACTCATAATAATACCTAGACTGACGATGCATTCTCAATAATGTATTAGCGTCGTTGTATGCAAATCAGCTGAACCCGCCATTTTGGTAACCCTTATAGTGATTATTCTCATATTAAAAACTACTATTAAATTGATAACTTGATTCATGGTCTCGATGATCAGGCAATTTTTTGATAAAGTTTGCGTCAGACATAGGAATAAATTGGCCTCTCGTTTAAAATTTTTAACACTAATATGGGTAACCAAAATGGCGTCTCCAGCTGTTTTCATTGATGCACACTTTTATCGAATGCATCGTCAGTCTAGGTATTATTAAATGTCATTGATGTTAATAGAATGAGTTTTTCTAAATTATATTATTATAGTTTATGATTGACGCAAAAATTATTTTTCAACAAACAATGGACCAAATATTTGGTTATTTTATTAAGAAGTTTTATGCGTTATATTTTTAGGCACATATTTCAAGCGAGAAACTTTTTATAAACTCTTATTGAAACTGAGTTATGTTTAGTATAAAATAAATGTCAAGGCAAATGTACAAAAAAAATTAATAATTTATAAAATATTTTAGTTTCAGCCATTTTTTTTGTAAATACCTTTTTCTTCCATGAATTTTTATTTATTTTATAAAAGTCAAAATATAAATATTTTATCCGCTAGATGGCGTTTTTTGGAAAATTAAAATTAATTAATTACTTTATTTTGAATGTTTTATTTTAGTATATTTAAAATTTTTAAAATCAGATTAATAAATAACGAAATAATTTATTTTATTCAATGCTACAATTTTTAAACATTATAATTTTGTACATTATCGTCGGTCTAGAATTGTAGTGCTCCACTCGACATCTTCAAAATTTTTGAGTTAGAAGTGGATAATAACTTTTTTCAATATATATATATATATAAAATAAAAACTTGAATTAATAAAATATTAATTTTTGCCAGTTATAGCTCTGTCAAAATTGACCAATAAGGTTTTCCTATTATTGATTTCAAACCTTAGCTGATTTTCTCATTTTAAACATTCAAAATAATAACTTTTTTATTCCCAATATATATGTAAAAAATTAAAACTAGAATTAATAAAATATTAATTTTTGCCAAAGTTATAGCTCTGTCAAAATTGACCAATAAGGTTTTTCTATATTTGATTTTAAACCTTAGCTGATTTTCTCATTTTAAACATTCAAAATTTTTGAGTTAGAAGTGGATAATATATAAAAAATAAAAACTAGAATTAAAAAAATATTAATTTTTACCAAAGTTATAGCTCTGTCAAAATTGATCAATAAGGTTTTCCTATAAATTAGGAGGACAGGTTTGGCGGGGCCTTAGACGCAGCAGCTTAGATATTTTATATGAGATAACTGATGATTCAACCCGACCCTCTTCGATTTGATTTTAAACTTTAATGTTGATTTTCTCATTTTAAACATTTGCGCAAGTGGAGCACTCCAATTCTAGGCCGACGTTGTTTTTCATTAGCCATTTGAACCAAATTTTATTTTATTTTAACTTTCATCGATAATGCTCGATAAAATCCAGCTGAAATTCTTCATATAATTCTTATGCTACTATTTATTTGCATCTGATATTAATAATATTATATCGTGTTTTTCTTGCTACTTCCACCATATATTAAGGTTTAGTAAGGACTGGGGCCATTTGATCTGCAATAAAATAATTTGGGGCAAGAAAGGACAATGTTATTAAAACAAGAAACGAGGTTATAATCGTCTTTACTTCTAAAAAAAAAGGTTCAACAAAATAATAAATTATTTCATAGATTCCTTTGTTATCAAGATTTATAGGGGGTTTTAAGAAAAACCTTCGTGGGGGGAGCGGTCAGATTATTTTTTGAATATTTCTGCCATATTTATTGAGTAGAATGAGTTTTCATGTCTTTTATATTTTTAATACATTAATTAAAAAGTTAACACAATTCCTAGAATTCTAGTAACTATCGAACTGAAGAGACCTATTTTTTTGGATCGAATTGTTAATCGGTGTTTCATTTAATTTACAACGGCCAATATAATATATATTTATGAATCTAGACAAAAGGCCAGTAGCTTCGACCGAATTAAATCATTACTACAAGTCCTTGCATCTATAAGAGAATGTGGGGGGAGGGGGACTAGCGGAGGCCTTTATTAACTTTCCAAAAATTATATTAGATAGTACCTGAAATTCAAAAAAAAAAATTTGAATCGGAGAAAAACCCCTTTTTACTTCGTGATTCGAAATCAGAATAAAAACGCTGTCCAACCCTTGATGCAAAACATTGATATGAGATGTGAGTTCTCCCGCATCGTCAACAGCTATTGTTCTTATACATATCATTATTGTTAAATTTACTATTATATCTCTACTTAAAATTGTTATTATTATTATTATTGTAATAATTAAAATTTCCAAGGCGTGAATTTATAGTTTTCAATTTAGCTTATAACTTGGAATTTTGTTTAGTTACGCAAAAAAACTGATTTACGAATTATAAATAAAAAAAGTTTTATTTAGGCAAATAAATATTGGCGTGTTTCATATCAATTAGCTTCCAATTTTCCACTACAAGTTTTTAACCTCTCATGATAAAACATAAAAGAAGGAAACTAGTGTTGTTAAATTATCTAACTTTGACCATCTCTAATTGTGGCTTAATGAAGCTTTTAGCCTAAAAAAAATTGAATTAAGCCTCTAAGTTGGATCTCAACCTTGAAGATTGATTCGAATATTTTTGGAGTAAAACATGGCTACGCTGCTTTATAGTTGATTAAAGTGTTAGGTAGTTACTAAAGGAAACAGTCATGCCTAACAACATTAATATAATATTCATTTTTATGTTATAAAGTTTATTATATAGGAAAGAATACACATTTTTATTTAAAAAAAATATTAATATCATCGTTTTATTAAATTTAATACACAGAAAAATGGGCTTTTAATCTATTCTCGTCATAATTAACAAATTTAATAAGCGCGTTCTAACATAAAGATGAGAAGGAAATGGGGGGGGGGTGGAGTAAGTGGAACATTAATGATAATTTGAGGAATATTTCTATTTGCGGCTAATGATAAAAAAATAATCAAATATTGAAGTTTTTAAATGGTTTTCGCTAATAATAGTGAGCACAAATTGAGCGTTTACTTTTTGTCGTATAAAAAACGTAACGCGTCCCTTGTTTAAATTGAGGTTGTCTTTTTATTAATATCCGTCGATTCAAAATTTTAAATAAGTTTCTTTAAAAAAAAAGGATTTGTCTTTTGAAAATTATATTTATCGTCTGCGTTCTTATTTCTTTAATTTTCTAAAATATTTCTTCTTTTTAGGATTATAAGTAAGTTATTTAATATTACATTTTATATTATATTACAAAGCGAAGAATAAAAAAATAGTAATGAATAAGCAAACTTATTTGCATTTTTTTTTAAATGGTTGCTAACGCCAAATGGTAAATTTTACCGATTTGCACGAGGCCATTTTGAAAGGCATCATTGGCGGTTGAAACACAGCGTTTGATACGCTCAATTTGTTCGCACTAACTTCCTTAGATTCCATCTTTGTTTTTAAGGGTGAACGCTTGGATAATCAAAATAACAACAACGCGGAAGGTTTTTATTGTTAGCGTGTAAAATAAATATATATATATTTATAAAATTACTAAATTTATATTTTAAACGTTTTTTTTGAAATATTTTTATATATAAATTATAAAATTTATTTGTCATAAATAATAATAAAAAAAATTGTATAAATCAAATAAAAAATTTATAAATAATATATATTACAAAAAAAAATGCGATTTTTGGTTGTTGATAGAGATGGATGTTTTTTAGCAACGAGCTTTCAACGGACTAGGAAACTAAAAAAAAAAAAGAAGAAAAACAATAAAACATATGTTTTTTAAAAAAAAAATTTATTTATCTCTTCTCATTTAAAAAGTTTAAATATCCGATAATAATAATGAATTTATCCAACAATTATGTAAATTTTTAAACGGCCCGGTTTGGGGGTCGATTTTTAGCAACGGCTAACTCGAAATTTTAGCCAGAAAAATGCTGCCAAAACCTCGAGATTTCACGCCAATAGATGTCCAACCCTTTGTGCCATCTATGACCAGGCTAGCGTAATATTATTATAGATAAAATATTGAGTTAGCCGTTTTTTTTAAAAAATAGGCTCATAACAACACTAGTATTTTAGCCAAAAATAATATTATGTAAGCGATCTTGACAAATAGAGGTTCAAAAAAACTTATCTGCCAATCTACGAGTAAAATCTTCAGACTCGCCATAATATTTATTTTGGCTAAACAACATTAGTAAAAAGGAGGAGGTTATTTTTGAAAGAAAGAAAGAAAGAAAGAAAGAACGAAAGAAAGAAAGAAAGAAAGAAAGAACGCCGTTTACATATTTGAAAACAGCTGTTGCTAAATAGTTAGGCGAAAGATATTATTTTTGCGGGTTCAATTTAAAAGCGAATTATACAAACAAATTTTTAAAAAAAAATCCCGTTTCTAAATTGCCAAAAAATATAAAATTAGGACTTCCGGTTATATATTCTTTGGGAATCTTGGTGATATTTTTTCCATTTTTTTAGGGATTTTTTTTTAAAATAAACTATATTTAAATACAAGTGTTTCCCTAGCATTTCATAATATTATTTTAAAAATTTTGCCATAGATTAGAAATTTGCATATAGATGTACTGGAGAGCACGAAAAGTAAAAAATAGCAAGCAAAGGATTGGAACCGAAACTTAACGACAATGAGAAACCGGAAAGAGATTATTTTTTTTTAAATTATAAGGAGTCAAACATTTTTTTTAATATTCAGGTTTTAAAAGTTGTGAGGAAATAAAAAAAAGCGAAAACCGACTCACGGAGTCGGCCGACACTTTCTGTTATAACCGATACTAATGGAAGATACCCAAAAATGGATTATGGTCCAAACTCAAGGAAATTTCCGTTACACAACAGTTGATCCATTTATTCATCTATTTATAAACACACTGGCCTTAAAACTATCTTTAATGTATCTTAAAACCTAACTCATTCTTAATAGTTGATCTTAACCCCACTATTTCAAATACATGTTTAATTTTAAATTACATTTCACCCAATTAAAAAAATCTTCTTCAATTGAACATTCTCTGTACTTCAGCTATTATTATACAAAAAATTTGTTACATTAATAATTTATTTAGTATCGTTTGTAATCGGCCAATACGGCGTTAAAATATGGCGCATGCGCAATGATAAAAAAGAGAGCTGATAAGAAGAAAAGATGAATATAATTTTATCTTTTTTTCATATTTCTTCAAGCAAAAAGTTATTTTCCTAGAGAAATTTTAATTTACATCCCCCCCCCCCCCCAAATGGGAAGGGCATATAAGAGCAGTATTGAAATTTATTTTTAATTACATAGTTTTCGATCTTGATTTTCGAGCAATTGTTGTTAACCAGGGATGGAAGGATTTGAATTTCTCATTTTGTCAGATTTTTCGTCTTTTCAAAATTGTCAAAAAAATAAATAAAAATGGTTTACATTTTAAAGTTGTTAAATGATTCCATTTTTTTCTAAAAAAGTGGGTAACCAACATATCCGCCGTAATTAATCAAAAAAATATGGTGGTTGGTTAGCTTTGATTTAAATCAAATTGATTTATAAATCAATGATTTTATTATATTTTTTTTTACTGAGATATCTTATTTTACTGGATTTTAATCATGAGAGGCCCTACTAGCTTGCTTTTTCATGTTGCATTTAAAAAGTCTTCCATATTTATTTATTTTTGTGTTCGAACATTCTAAAAAAGAGTATTTGCGTTTTTTCTTGCATTGTTGATATATGCATAGTTTTAATAATTTATAATGCGCAAATATAAATTCACTTTCAAGAGCTGGGTTTTAGGGCTAAAAAAATAAATAAACGTTTTAAAAAAAAACTTAATCAATTTTGGCATTACATAAATTAAAAACAAATAAACACGATACAAGTTTTGATTTTTGTATCTTTTAACATTATAAAAATTTTCTTTTTTTTGGCCGTTATGCATGTCCGGGCAGTTAAATATTAATGTTAATACATAATACCAAGAATCGATTTCTCCTCTTGGCGAGATCTTCGTCGTAACAAATTATAGCTTCTTCTATATCTCCCATTTTTATCGCCATAAGCTTGTCCGCTTCATTTTCAGGGAGAGTCAGGTGATTTGATTTGGAGACTTTTGAAGTTGCTTTTGCGCTTAAAATATTTTTTTTTTAAAAAAAATAATGTTTTTGTTGCATTTTAAATTCATTATTGAAGATATTATAAGACTTCCCCCTTTCACAATTTGAATTTTGTTTTTTTTTAAAAAAAAGACGTTAGTTATTAATATCCACTAGGAAAAACTTGCGAAATGTTAAAATCATTTTTTTTCCAAAACATAAAAAAAAATCTAACGCAATACGAACACAGCCAAATCGATAGCTTTGGTAACTCACCCCCTCCGCCACCCATTACGCAAGCCCGCCTTGAGGGATGTTATAGAAAATATTAAGAAAGAAATTATGAGTAATAAATGGGTAGGAAATAATGAAAGGACAGAGGCAATTATATGTTATAATTGTGGTCAAGGCGGTCATATTTCACGAATGTGTGGTAATAAACCTGTGAATTGTGTAAGATGTGGTCAAGGGGGGGGGGGCATTTAGAAATAAATTGTAGAGCCATAAGATGCAATAAATGTAATAAGTTTGGACATTTAGAAGATAAATGTTTTGTAAACATGAACATATGACTAGATAATAATAAAATTAATAGTTATAGATTGTTATTAAGTAGTAATATAGATAATGAATGAATTGATAATAGTAATAATAAATTTAGTGATAGTGATAATTTAAAATTTTGTAATGATATAAATTTAGGTAAATGTAATAAAAATATAAACAGGATAGATTTTGAGGAGCTAGAGGATAAATGTATTAGGATGTAGAGTCAAATTTTTGTTAGATACGGGTTCGGTATTCAGTGTCATGATAAGCAATTCAATAAGATTTGGCCGGGGCATACATTTACAAAGGAAAAGATGAAGGTAACTCAGTTTGATCGATCTATAATAATAATTTTAGGATTTTATGTAATAAAAGTACCAGGTATAGATAGTAGTAATAAATTATGGTTGACCACCCAGAAAACGGAACCGATATTAGGATGGGATAATATTAAGATTCTAGGTCCAAGTAATGCATGGTAAAATTTATTTAAGGTACAAAAAAGTAAGGAGAAATTTTATAAAAATTGTGTGAATAAAAATAAAAATAATGGTAATATTATTGAGAAATATGTTGACGATGAACATGTTAAAAATCGTATTAATAAGGAGGATAATGAATATAAGATTAATGAAAAAGATAAAATAAAAGTGGAAAATTATAATATTAATGGTTTTCCGAGATATATGTGTGCAAATAAATTGTATAAGATAATAATCGGGGTAATATGAAAGTAGAGGATGAGTTTAAAATTAGTAATAAGGGTATAAAAGTAATGAAAGATTTTGCATGTTCGGAATTGAAGGAGGTACTAAATAATAATAATTTTAGTATGCCTGCTGTTTCCTTTTGGACTAGCTAAAATTTCATCGATTCGCGGCAGCGGAAACTTGATCTCCTGCACCCATTGATTTATCGTGATCCGGAAATCAAAACATACACGCAGAGTACCATTGGGTTTTCTAATCGGTACTAGTCACCCAATTACTATTATCCACTGACGCTATAATTCCCTCCTGTACCTATCTGTTTAACTTCTTTTCTATATCAACTCGCCATTCAAAAGGAACTCGACAAATTGGACAATATTTAGGTATCGAATTATCTCTCAATTTTATATTCACCTCAAAATTGTTTAATGTACCCAGTTCCTTTATAAAAATATCATTTAAGCGTATCAATAATCCATTCATTTCTTGTGTATATTTATCTTCCAGCACCTTATCTGCTTCCTATTATTGTCATTTATTACTATTACTTCATTTCCGTCTTTATTCATCCAAACCTTGTTCCCCCTTTCAATATCTTCTCCCGTATCCTCTATTTCATTATTTTCCCTTAAACCCCTCTCCTTTTCAGAATTCATATTTACATTATCATTATTTGTGTCATTTATTTTATCATTATTTTCGTTATCCGTTTCCATAACACCATTATTACTTTTGCATATTTTATCTTCATCAGTATCTTTGTTATTATTATGTTTGATATTATCTTCTCCCTTTGGTAATTTGTCTCCCTCATTATAGTTATTTATATTATCGTCACTAATCCTTTGTAATTGTTCATCATATATTCTCTTTATTCAGTAATCTATATTTAAGAATTTATCCTCGCCACAAATATCTTGAGAATGGAAAGAAGCTGTCTTATCCTTCACGTTTCCATGGCAAAGACTTCATTTTCAGGCATACTAAAATTATTAATATTTAGTACCTCCTTCAATTCCGAACATGCAAAATCTTTCATTACTTTTATACCCTTATTACTAATTTTAACCTCATCCTCTACTTTCATATCCCGATTAATATCTCCTTTATACAATTTATTTGCACACATATATCTCGGAAAACCATTAATATTATAATTTTCCATTTTTATTTTATCTATTTCATTAATCTTATATTTATTATCCTCCTTATTAATACGATTTTTAACATGTTCATAGTCAACATATTTCTCAATAATATTACCATTATTATTTTTTTTATTCACACAATTTTTAAACTTCTCCTTACTTTTTTGTAACTTAAATAAATTCCACCATGCATTACTTGGACCTAGAATCTTAATATTATCCCATCCTAATATCGGTTCCGTTTTCTGGGTGGTCAACCATAATTTAATACTACAATCTATACCTGGTACTTTTATTACATAAAATCCTAAAATTATTATTATAGATCCATCAAACTGAGTTACCTTCATCTTTTCCTTTGTAAATGTATGCCCCGGCCAAATCTTATTGAATTGCTTAACACTCATGACACTGATTACTGAACCCGTATCTAACAAAAATTTGACTCTACATCCTAATAACATGACATCAACTCTAGGACATTTATCCTCTAGCTCCTCAAAATCTATCCTGTTTAAATTATTATTACATTTACTTAAATTTATATTATTATAAAAATTTTAAAAATTTTATTATTGCATATTCCCCCCTTCCACCTCCAAGATCGAAATTTTTTAAAACGAAGAGTGGGTGGGCTTATTGGCCTAAAACCCGATAGGAACTGGATTAGCGATATGGATAAGTGATGTTTTATACGAATTAACTATAACGGTTTGGGTTATTAATAGAGGGGCGATAATTTCTTAGGGTACGGCAACCAGAAACATTGAAAATCTCATCATTTAAAATGGAGGCGTTCCATGTGTTCGTGGATAAAAAAAAATTCACTTTTGGATCAAAACATCGATAAGTTTTTGTAGGGTTTCTCGACTCAACGCAATCAAACGCTCCAACGTATTAGATGGTACGGCAATCTGGCTTTCATCGATAGGCGTCATCTTCAAATCGTTCAATCCCTCACATATACTATCTGTTTAGAGAAATAAAATGTTTATAGTAAATTTCAAGAGGTAAAAATATTTAGAAAATTATCTAAGTTCTATTTCTCTTCCTAAAATATTTACTCCGACGTTTTTTTCCATTCATACATCAATTATTTAGAGATACGTCGATACTTATTGTATCGATCAGTATCGGAACCAGCTGGCTCATACTCATTTCGTTAGATCTTAATCTATTTTTTGACGAGAGTGTTCAAAAAATAACCTCGTGGCAGTTTGATCGAAAATAGATTAAGAAAGTTAACAAAAAGTTAAAACAATATTTTGGACGTATCGGATCGGTTAATATCGAATCGGTTTTCGCTTAATATCGGCCCGGTTTTGGGTTAATATCGGATTGGTCACTATAATATTTTTAGCGGATGAAATTTACTAAGAAACTTTATTGGGTTAAGGTGCCGATCTCTGAAAAAATATAATATTTCGAGGATTGCATATTCTAGTTTTTTTTTCTTCCTTACATCAATTATTTAGAGATGCGTCGATACATATTGTATCGATCAGTATCGGAGCTAAGTGACTCATACTGTTCGTTAGCTCTAAATCTATTTTTGACGCATGTGTACCTCGTGGCAATTTGATCGAAAATAGATCAAGAGTTAACGAAAAGTAAAAGTTAAAAACGATTAGTTATAACTATTTACTCAATTTTAAAGGGTTTTAAGATCAATTTATTTTTTTTGGCTAAAAGATTGGCTTAGCCATTACGGAATGGAATTTGTCCAAAGTTGGGAAAGTAGGGGGGGGGGGGGGGTATTTAATTTCATTATATATAAAATCCCTAAATCTTACCCATCAAATCTTATAATCTTCCGTTTCGTTAAACGTGTCATTCAAACTCCTAATATAACAATCATTATTCCAACAGAAAATATGATGATTGGTAAATAATCCATTCGTACCCCCCAATAATTTCAATTTGTTTTAAAAAAAAAGATTTACTTAAATTTGTGGGCCGCAATAAGGTTTGAGGTGAACAGCTGCCTAACCGTTTCATAATTTCCTAATGGATGCATAAATTATTGAACAAAATATTTAAAAAAAAACATATATATACACAATTCATTAAAACGATTATATTTATATTACGATGAATGGCACGAGTTGCATATTAGTGAGCTTGTCCATCTCCTCCCCAAAATCAGCTAAAATATTAGCGATTTCTTGTATCAACGCGAAATTATTTTCCAGCATGAAGCTCATAAATTTGAGCCTCGATCTTTGATGATTCAATGATGTCAAAATCTAATCGTTATTTATATATACATATATATAACATCTTCAAGATAAAAAAAAATACGAATTTGAAAACTATACTATAAAAAAAAGAATGATTGGCATTATAACTTAGTGATCTGTATCGCCCGTCGGTTTGAACTGTAAAACGCGAACCCCTTCGTATCCGAACATTCTTTTTTCTTCCCCCCCCCCCAATCAAAAATGAAATTTATCAGGAATTATCTTGCACTCTTTCCAGGGTTAGGCTTTTTTTTATTACAGTACACTTTTAATGAATGCATCGTCAGTACAGGTATTATTATTATATGTCATTGGGCTCAACTTGATCATAAATAAATTTATTCGAAGATTCTCGAAAAAAAAATTTTTTTTTCTTTATAAATCTTCCGAGATCAAAAAATATTACGAAAATATTCAATTTTTAAAAGTAACCATTTCGGAATTCTGGTATTTTTTTTTAGTTATTTAACCTACCGTTGTTAAACAGGCCCATATTTAACGGTCCGAATAAAAATTTAAGCCTAAAAAACGGACCGAATAAGATTTTAAGCCTAAAAAATGGACTGAATAAGATTTTAAGCTTAAAAAACGGACCGAATAAGATTTTAAGCCTAAATAAACGGACCGAATATAATTTTAAGCTTAAAAACCGGACCGAATAAAATTTTAAGCTTAAAAACGGACCGTTGAAGATTTTAAGCTTAAAAACGGTCCGAATAAGATTTTAAGCTAAAACGGACCGAATAAGATTTTAAGCCTAAAAAATGGACCGAATAAGATTTTAAGCTTAAAAACCGGACCGAATAAAATTTTAAGCTTAAAAACGGACCGTTGAAGATTTTAAGCTTAAAAACGGTCCGAATAAGATTTTAAGCTAAAACGGACCGAATAAGATTTTAAGCCTAAAAAATGGACCGAATAAGATTTTAAGCCTAAAAAATGGACCGAATAAGATTTTAAGCCTAAAAAACGGACCGAATAAGATTTTAAGCTTAAAAAAGGGACCGAATAAGATTTTAAGCTTAAAAAAGGGACCGAATAAGATTTTAAGCCTAAATAAAGGGACCGAATATAATTTTAAGCTTAAAAAACGGACCGTTGAAGATTTTAAGCTTAAAAACGGACCGTTGAAGATTTTAAGCTTAAAAACGGTCCGAATAAGATTTTAAGCTAAAACGGACCGAATAAGATTTTAAGCCTAAAAATGGACCGAATAAGATTTTAAGCCTAAAAACGGAACGAATAAGATTTTAAGCCTAAATAAACGGACCAAATAAGATTTTAAGCCTAAAAAAAGGACCGAATAAAAACTGACCGAATAAGATTTTAAGCCTAAAAAGGGTTCGAATAAGATTTTAAGCCTAAAAAACGGATCGAATAAGATTTTAAGCTTAAATAAACGGACCAAATAAGATTTTAAGCCTAAAAAACGGACCGAATAAGATTTTAAGCCTAAAAAACGGTTCGAATAAAATTTTAAGCCTAAAAAAATGACCGAATAAGATTTTAAGCCTGAAAACAGACCGAATAAGATTTTAAGCCTAAAAAAATGACCGAATAAGATTTTCAGCCTAGAAAACGGATCGAATAAGATTTTAAGCCTAAAAAACAGACCGAATAAAGATTTTAAGCCTAAAAAACGGATCAGATTTTAAGCCTAAATAAACGGACCAAATAAGATTTTAAGCCTAAAAAACGGACCGAATATAATTTTAAGCCTAAAAAACGGTTCGAATAAGATTTTAAGCCTAAAATAATGAGCGAATAAGATTTTAAGCCTAAAAACGGACCGAATAAGATTTTAAGCCTAAAAAAATGACCGAATAAGATTTTAAGCCTAGAAAACGGATCGAATAAGATTTTAAGCCTAAAAAACAGACCGAATAAAGATTTTAAGCCTAAAAAACGGATCGAATAAGATTTTAAACCTAAATAAACGGACCAAATAAGATTTTAAGCCTAAAAAAAGGACCGAATAAAAACTGACCGAATAAGATTTTAAGCCTAAAAAGGGTTCGAATAAGATTTTAAGCCTAAAAAACGGTTCGAATAAGATTTTAAGCCTAAAAAAATGACCGAATAAGATTTTAAGCCTAAAAACGGACCGAATAAGATTTTAAGCCTAAAAAAATGACCGAATAAGATTTTAAGCCTAGAAAACGGATCGAATAAGATTTTAAGCCTAAAAAACAGACCGAATAAAGATTTTAAGCCATAATAATAATATAATCTTAGCCTCGAGCTCTGGCAAAGGTTCCTAACCTTTCTGCAACTTACGGGGCAAAAATCTCCAGTCTTTACATTAATGTTTATTTTAGTTAAAATCTCAAACAACACCAATTTAATCGAATAATTTAGAGGAAAGTTATTTAAAGTATACCCGTGTTTTGAAATACAAGTAACTTGTAATTTTATTTACGATTTTTTTTTCAAATAAGTATACAAATTACATGATACTTTTTATTTATTATATTTTATTTTAAAATTAATTTTTGTGAATCCGGTATTTGGAAGGAAGGGGTAAGCAAGAAAAATCAAGATTTTATCTTTCTCGACGTCTTATTACATTAAATTGAAAATTGAAGAAAAGAAAAAATAAAAATTTTGAAGAAGCATTTTACAATATGCCGTTCATGAGGGATCCGAGATCTTTAACTGACTGGAACCTATTTCCTTCATTCTCACATTTATCTAACTATATTGAAGGAATAATGACTCTTAAAGAATGTCATCCAAATATCAATAAAATTTAAAAAAAAATTTAACAAAGGTATTATTTCAATGTTAGTTACATGGCTCGTTTTTGAGCCGATTTTCAAAAAACGGCTAACTCAATCCAGAAAAAAAATATTACCCAAGCCTGAAGATTTTGCTCATAGAAGGAACGAAGGGTCTAGAACATATATTATCGAAATTTCGAGGATTAGGCAATATTTTTCTGGTTAGAGCCGTTTAACAACACAACTCTCATCCTTCTCAAATTCTATACTTCATCTAAAAAGAAGTTATATATATAATATCTCTTTAAACCTTATATTATAAATGCATTAATATATTCGCGTCCCGGTGACGTCACTTGTCTTGGGCTAAAAACGTGGCCATGCATGCTTTATAAAAAAAAAATACTAGGCGCGTCTTTATTTATTTTATTTTTTTTTCTAGGGATCCAAAACCGTAACAATTATCGGTTCGGTTCACATAAAATAAAAATAAAGATTCGCGATTCAGGTTCGATTCGTAAAAAAAAATAATGATATCACTTCCGGTCTGAACCTTCAAAAACCGGTTCGAACCCTTTCCGCGTATAAGCACAATTAGGAATTATGTAAATAAATACTGATAAATTATTATCAGTCATAACCGACTTTTTAGCCAAATAACTATTATTGAAACCCCCTCCCCATCTTTCGCCAAAAAGATGGCCAGATCCCTTCTAGTACGTTTTAGCGTAATCTCGGGGATTTGGGTAATATGTTTTTCGATAAAACCGTGATTTAAAAATGTCCTAAATCAAGTTATTTAGCAACACTAATTTTAAATAATTCAAATTATTTCTTCACATAAAAATGGTTGAATTGTTAATATTAGTATTATAATTTAAGGTAAAAAAAAACATCAATTTTTGGGTTTAAAAAAAATTTGCTTTTTTTTCAAGACAAGTAATTTAGGCGTGCTGCCATGTGGCAACCAATATTGGTTGTGTAAAAATTTTATATTTTATATGAGATATAAATATATATTCAACTATATAACTCAGGTTACATGGAAATAATTGTACTAAGCATAAAGATTTGGCAAAGATGTGTAAGCATTTCGAGCAAAATCTGTAGTCTTACACAATGTCATTTTGGTTTTAATCATAATCAGGCAATTTTTTTAAATCAACCCAAATCAGGTGCTTTTTAATAACACTAATCACCACTCTCTCCATCTTATCATTCTGATAGTTTTAAAGTAAAAGGGCTAGTGCAGATAATTTTTTCATTGTCACACAGATTTAATACTTCTAAACCAATTTTCAATTAGAGACAGTGCGGTGTAAGACCACATTTATAGTAACCACAATGATGATAAGATGATTTAAGGTTAATGGCTAAATTGTAACCGTTATATTTGATAATTATATAATATTATTAATTTTGTTTAAGCAGCTAAATAAAATATCACGATATTTTGTGATAGCTATAAATGTGAGGCATAAAGTAAAATCTTAGCATATTTTAAGTAAATAAGTATTTTAAATTAACTAAATAATATAAATTTTAAAATAAAAAAATAATAAACTTTAGATTGTAATTTTAATATATAGGAGTAAGGTGCTTTAAAATCTGCATTAGCATCATTGATAATCAAGCATTTGAGGCAATCTTCCAATTTAGGTAAAAATTTTAAATAATTTATTTTATAATTATATTCGGCATTATTTAATTCATTGACTACATTATCTACCCTTGATTTTGTTGTATCTCTATGATTCAAAATTAATTTATATTATTGAAACATTTAAACTTGAAGATTTCTTTATAAAGTAATTTTATATATTCATTCAAAGTTTGCATATCATTGCAATTATCATTTATATCTTGATATAGGGAAAAATGTCCATTAATTGCATAAATTTGGCATGATAATTCACCATTCTTTATATATAAATTTGATAGACTAGTTATATAATGATCAATGGTTGAAATAATAATTTTATACCCTTTTAAAATATGTACTATATCCAAATCATAAGTTTTATGGTCTCCAATGGAATATTTATGAATGTTAATGATAGAATTATCATGAATAGACTAAATTAAAAAAGTAGAACTAAGTTTATTATGCAAAATCACTTCTAATGACTTGATATCAGTAAAATACATCTCAGATATAGAATTATATAAAGATGATTCATCTTCTATATAATTTTCTAAAATAGTTTCTTGGCCTTTTATAGCCAGTTGTGGATTGAGAATTAAATTCTCATTAAACTTAATTTCTGATATATCATTTAACTTATTACCCATTATTCGTAACTGGTCCACCTCCTAATATTAATTAATAAAACATTCAAAAAAATAATATACTTCAATCAAATTAACAGGTATAATATTGTTATCAACATTTTCATTAATGGTTTCAATTCTCTCTCTAAATTTAAATAAAATATGCATAATCTGTATAATTACTTTAGATCACGGTTAGTTTGTTGTAGATAGTTTAACTCAATAGAAGAATTCTGGATTAATTTATCAATATGTTTTTCAAATCTAAAAAATAATATAAATAAATGATGAAAGAGAACAATACAATCCATCTATTTCTTTGTTATTTATTTCTTCTGTGTAGTATTTTAACATATTGCATATTTTATAAAAGTTTTGAGAATTATTTTCCCACATTTCAATTTTGTGAATATTGAAAACTACCCTATAATATATATTGTATTTTAAAAAAAGCAAATAATAAATTTATCATTCCCAATAAAATATAAAAAAATTCATTGGTTGAAAAAAAATTTTTAAAAATTTGAAATTAGCGAAAATTTATAGAATATACACTACCTAGTATAAATAATGTTTGACTTGACAGGAGAGTTTGACATAAGAATATTTATTTTTTGTTTTTAATAGATATTAATTAGTTTTTTTTACTTTTTTATATTAACATTAATAAGAGACATTAAGATTTTTTTTTAAATATATTTACATTATATAAATTAAATGTAAACTTTGGATTATTATGAGCGCATGTAAAAAAATAGTAATATTTCTTGTTTTTATTGGTAAAATAAGAATTCAAATGTAAACTTTTGATTATTATGAGAACATTTATATTATAATTTTCCGATTGGATAGGTCATGTTCGGTAGGTATTTATTATCTTTGTAATTATTTTTCTTTAGAAAAACAAATAGAACTAAGCCTCAGTTATAGTTAATGCACTATAGATAATAGCGAATTCGATAAAAAGGTGTATGATTTTTATTAAAATATAATATTTATCTCTATTTTCGCCTTATCTTAATTAGTTTTTTAAACTGAAACTGATGATAATAGTTTATTTTATATTAAGTTTTATGAAAATTGATATATTTAACAATACTATATATTTTAGGGTAAAGATTATCAGTATATGGACTACATAAAAAACATTCTTCATTATAATATTCGCTATTATTATAATATATACCTTAGTGTTTTAATTAAAAAGTTTAATATTATGCTTGTGTTACCTCATTTTATTATGGTTTTTCTTTTGATTTATGTACCACATCATTAGATAAAGCATTACTAAAATTATTGCTTGTGCTTGGCTCAGTAATTATATGAATTAATCGCATTTTGGTAAAAAAGTTAAATTTCCGCTAGATAGCGCAAGTTATTTAAAATAGCTATAAACTTTATTTTTGTAAAATTTGTCAGTCGAGGTTTTTATTTAATTAATATTTATTAAATTAATTCATAGTAAAACTACTTATAGTATGGGAGCTATATATGACATTATAAATTGATATAATTACTGAGCCAAGCTAAAGCAATAGTAATTTATCTAATGGCGTGGTTCATATTAGTGTTGTTAAATTGCTGGGTCGGGTCGGCTTGGCCGAAAACCCAGCAAGGTTTGAGCCGAAAAAAACGACCTAAAACCCGAGCCAACCCATTTAGCCATAGATCAGACCCGACCCGACCCAATGGGCCACATGAGCCGACCCATTGGGCCGACCCGATGAGTCGGCTTGCTGGGTCGGCTTGCTGGGTCGGATTGTTGGGTCGGCTTGATGGGTCGGCTTGTTGGGTCGGCTTGGTGGGTCGGCTTGCTGGGTCGGCTTGCTGGGTCGGCTTGCTGGGTCGGCTTGATGGGTCGGCTTGATGAGTCGGCTTGATGGGTCGGCTTGTTGGGTCGGCTTGGTGGGTCGGCTTGCTGGGTCGGCTTGTTGGGTCGGCTTGTTGGGTCGGCTTGCTGGGTCGGCTTGATGGGTCGGCTTGATGGGTCGGCTAGTTGGGTCGGCTTGGTGGGTCGGCTTGCTGGGTCGGCTTGATGGGTCGGCTTGCTGGGTCGGCTTGCTGGGTCGGCTTGCTGGGTCGGCTTGATGGGTTGGCTTGCTGGGTCGGCTTGTTGGGTCGGCTTGATGGGTCGGCTTGATGGGTCGGCTTGTTGGGTCGGCTTGCTGGGTCGTTTGCTGGGTCGGCTTGCTGGGTCGGCTTGCTGGGTCGGCTTGTTGGGTCGGCTTGCTGGGTCGGCTTGTTGGGTCGGCTTGCTGGGTCGGCTTGTTTCGTCGGCTTGCAGGGTCGGCTTGCTGGGTCAGCTTGCTGGGTGGGCTTGCGTTAAAATTTGTCATAATCGTCATCTTTAGGTTTTTTCGAATTTTTTTGAAGCAAATAGGTAAAAATATATTTTGTGAACATGAATTAAATTTTTAGTGAATATGTACCTTAGAAAAGTGACAATTGTCATAATCTTCATTTTTAAGTTTTTTCGAATTTCTTTGAAGCAAATAGGTAAAAATATATATAATTAACATGTTATATTAAATTTTCAGTGAATATGTACCTTAGAAAAGTGACAATTGTCATAATCGTCATTTTTAAGTTTTTTCGAATTTCTTTGAAGCAAATAGGTAAAAATATATATATTAACATGTTATATTAAATTTTCAGTGAATGTGTATCTTAGAAAAGTGACAATTGTCATAATCGTCATTTTTAAGTTTTGTCAAATTTTTTTGAAGCAAATAGGTAAAAATATATATTGTAAACATGTTAAATTAAATTTTCAGTGAATATGTACCTTAGAAAAGTGACAATTGTCATAATCGTCATCTTTAAGTTTTTTTAAACTTTCTTTTAATCTTAGTGGTTTTTAATATTATAAAGTTCAAAAATTTTATTTTTTTTATCACCACGCTTGAAATGTAAAAATTAAAAAAACATTTTATTTAGGTTTAAAGTCTTGTAAAAAGTTTTGGATATTTAATAGATTTTCTAAAACCATTGAATCTAGTAATAAGGTGTCACTGCAATTATATTTTATTCCAATGAGGAAAATTTTATTTAAAATTGTTTTAAGCCTATTTAAAAAAATTTTGATATTGGAAAGATGTTATAAAATATTTGGATTCAGTAAGAAATTTTTTCTTTCATTACTTTTTGACTCCACCCTTAAAAATCTAGAAATATAAAATAAATTATACTTATTTTCAGACTAGTAAAAAGTTTTTATAATTAGAAAAATATTTCTAAATCTCTAATATTGATACTGCTATTATATTTCATTCTTTTTTTTTTTAACTTGAACTTAGTTTATAATATTTGTTATTAGATATGAGTGGTATATCCTTTGAAACTTTTTAAAGGATTGCTAGATAATAGGAAAATACAGGGAAAATTGAGCAAGGAACTCATTTTTAAATTTAAGACATTCAGATATATTTTTTCTAATCTTATAAAAATATTAAGTAATATGTAACTACTATAAATTTTTTATATCAAATTTGATTTGAAACACAAGATTTTAATTATTATTTGATTTAAGATCATGGATATAATTCTTGACAAATTTTAAATTATTTTTCATAATTTCTGAGTTTTACAAATATTTTGTTTACATATCACGATTGTTAAAGCGATTGTTAGCGGGCCTTGCTAAACCCCCTAAATACTTTCTACCACTATTGCATCATTATAAATTTTAATTGATTATTTTTCTTTGGTAATTGTGTGGATGACTTATGCAAAATCCAATTATTCATACTTAAGAATGAATATCATAGAAAAAATTTGGAAAACATTTAGATCTTCAGAGATACTACTAATTAGGAATTAAAAATTTTTTATCTATAAACCCCCCCCCCCTTTTCTTTTTAGAAATATTAACTATTATTTTTTTAAAAATGATATATTTATTATTCATTTATCGCAAGTAGGCTCTTATATTTTATAAGTAAAAATTTACAAATGCAAAATAAATAAGGCACATTTTCATATCTTTATTATTTTCATAAATAAAAAATAAAAATTATATGAAATCAAATAACAAATAATTGAAAAATAACAAATTATACAAAAAATTCGTCACGCAAATTTAAAACATTAACATCTCATGAATTTATACATAGGCATTGTTTTAACGTTGAGGCTGACATCCTATTCCTCTTCTTAGTAATGGTTGCGCCGCCTCGAGAAAAAATACGTTCGCTTGCTACGGACGTAGTTTGTTCGCATAAGTAATCCTTGGCCATTGTCGACAGCTTTGGAAAACGATTAGCGTTTCGAGACCACCAATCTATAATATCAACAGAGGTTTGAGCAACCGGATCTGTTAAATATTCTTCGATTTCTTCTCCGTCTAAATTTGGCATAATGTATGATTTCCTTAATATAAAATATTTAAATTAAATTAACTATTTATTATATAATCAAATCCATTGTAAAACCTTGTAACAAACATATTTTAAAAATGCCTATTTTGCAACTATATGCTTTATTAATTTTATAAGTTCTTAAGTCTCTATTTTTTAATGTTTAATAAATATTTATATTAACTCAAATAACTATCATAATTTTTGTTTAATGTAAGCATAATATTTAAATTTAGTCACTCCAATATAGCTTCAAAAATGTTTGTTAGAAGTTTTTATGAGTATTCTATATAATTAAGTATTTATATTTACCTTCTTAACTCATTCAGAATATTGACAGACATTAGATTGGATTAATTATTATCCTCCTCCTCGAAATCATATATTGATTTCGATGTACCATAATCATCAAATACTTTTTTGAATTTTTCATAAAACCCAAGGTTATTTATGAAATTTGGTAAAGATGTTTTCTTAATTCTTGGATCAAGAAATGATGATGCATAATTTGAAAATGTGGTGAAATATTCGATATAAATATTACATTTTTCTTTCATTATATTAGCAGCACTTTTTATAATTATATTTTTATGTGATTGGGCATTAAGCGATAAAGAATTCGCTATATTATCTAAATATAAGGCTGACATCCCAATTGTAGATGATGACGCCGAACTTATTTCACATGTGATTTTATAGAATGGATATAAAAATGACTCTAGCTCAATCAATAACTTAGCCTCCTCCTGGTTCAAATTATCTTTATTGGGTAAATATCGCCTACTTATATTAATGATGGCATCTATATTCTATTAAAATATGATTATAAAAAATATCAAATAATAAAATATTACTTTATTAACAGTAGTTATCATTAAATACATACTGTTCCATC